GGCGTCAGGACTCCTGGGTCCTGCCTGGCTCCGCAGGGCAGTGGTGCACAATGGTGAGAGCGGGGGGCGTCAGGACTCCTGGGTCCTGCCTGGCTCCGCAGGGCAGTGGTGCACAATGGTGAGAGCGGGGGGCGTCAGGACTCCTGGGTCCTGCCTGGCTCCGCAGGGCAGTGGTGCACAATGGTGAGAGCGGGGGGCGTCAGGACTCCTGGGTCCTGCCTGGCTCCGCAGGGCAGTGGTGCACAATGGTGAGAGCGGGGGGCGTCAGGACTCCTGGGTCCTGCCTGGCTCCGCAGGGCAGTGGTGCACAATGGTGAGAGCGGGGGGCGTCAGGACTCCTGGGTCCTGCCTGGCTCCGCAGGGCAGTGGTGCACAATGGTGAGAGCGGGGGGCGTCAGGACTCCTGGGTCCTGCCTGGCTCCGCAGGGCAGTGGTGCACAATGGTGAGAGCGGGGGGCGTCAGGACTCCTGGGTCCTGCCTGGCTCCGCAGGGCAGTGGTGCACAATGGTGAGAGCGGGGGGCGTCAGGACTCCTGGGTCCTGCCTGGCTCCGCAGGGCAGTGGTGCACAATGGTGAGAGCGGGGGGCGTCAGGACTCCTGGGTCCTGCCTGGCTCCGCAGGGCAGTGGTGCACAATGGTGAGAGCGGGGGGCGTCAGGACTCCTGGGTCCTGCCTGGCTCCGCAGGGCAGTGGTGCACAATGGTGAGAGCGGGGGGCGTCAGGACTCCTGGGTCCTGCCTGGCTCCGCAGGGCAGTGGTGCACAATGGTGAGAGCGGGGGGCGTCAGGACTCCTGGGTCCTGCCTGGCTCCGCAGGGCAGTGGTGCACAATGGTGAGAGCGGGGGGCGTCAGGACTCCTGGGTCCTGCCTGGCTCCGCAGGGCAGTGGTGCACAATGGTGAGAGCGGGGGGCGTCAGGACTCCTGGGTCCTGCCTGGCTCCGCAGGGCAGTGGTGCACAATGGTGAGAGCGGGGGGCGTCAGGACTCCTGGGTCCTGCCTGGCTCCGCAGGGCAGTGGTGCACAATGGTGAGAGCGGGGGGCGTCAGGACTCCTGGGTCCTGCCTGGCTCCGCAGGGCAGTGGTGCACAATGGTGAGAGCGGGGGGCGTCAGGACTCCTGGGTCCTGCCTGGCTCCGCAGGGCAGTGGTGCACAATGGTGAGAGCGGGGGGCGTCAGGACTCCTGGGTCCTGCCTGGCTCCGCAGGGCAGTGGTGCACAATGGTGAGAGCGGGGGGCGTCAGGACTCCTGGGTCCTGCCTGGCTCCGCAGGGCAGTGGTGCACAATGGTGAGAGCGGGGGGCGTCAGGACTCCTGGGTCCTGCCTGGCTCCGCAGGGCAGTGGTGCACAATGGTGAGAGCGGGGGGCGTCAGGACTCCTGGGTCCTGCCTGGCTCCGCAGGGCAGTGGTGCACAATGGTGAGAGCGGGGGGCGTCAGGACTCCTGGGTCCTGCCTGGCTCCGCAGGGCAGTGGTGCACAATGGTGAGAGCGGGGGGCGTCAGGACTCCTGGGTCCTGCCTGGCTCCGCAGGGCAGTGGTGCACAATGGTGAGAGCGGGGGGCGTCAGGACTCCTGGGTCCTGCCTGGCTCCGCAGGGCAGTGGTGCACAATGGTGAGAGCGGGGGGCGTCAGGACTCCTGGGTCCTGCCTGGCTCCGCAGGGCAGTGGTGCACAATGGTGAGAGCGGGGGGCGTCAGGACTCCTGGGTCCTGCCTGGCTCCGCAGGGCAGTGGTGCACAATGGTGAGAGCGGGGGGCGTCAGGACTCCTGGGTCCTGCCTGGCTCCGCAGGGCAGTGGTGCACAATGGTGAGAGCGGGGGGCGTCAGGACTCCTGGGTCCTGCCTGGCTCCGCAGGGCAGTGGTGCACAATGGTGAGAGCGGGGGGCGTCAGGACTCCTGGGTCCTGCCTGGCTCCGCAGGGCAGTGGTGCACAATGGTGAGAGCGGGGGGCGTCAGGACTCCTGGGTCCTGCCTGGCTCCGCAGGGCAGTGGTGCACAATGGTGAGAGCGGGGGGCGTCAGGACTCCTGGGTCCTGCCTGGCTCCGCAGGGCAGTGGTGCACAATGGTGAGAGCGGGGGGCGTCAGGACTCCTGGGTCCTGCCTGGCTCCGCAGGGCAGTGGTGCACAATGGTGAGAGCGGGGGGCGTCAGGACTCCTGGGTCCTGCCTGGCTCCGCAGGGCAGTGGTGCACAATGGTGAGAGCGGGGGGCGTCAGGACTCCTGGGTCCTGCCTGGCTCCGCAGGGCAGTGGTGCACAATGGTGAGAGCGGGGGGCGTCAGGACTCCTGGGTCCTGCCTGGCTCCGCAGGGCAGTGGTGCACAATGGTGAGAGCGGGGGGCGTCAGGACTCCTGGGTCCTGCCTGGCTCCGCAGGGCAGTGGTGCACAATGGTGAGAGCGGGGGGCGTCAGGACTCCTGGGTCCTGCCTGGCTCCGCAGGGCAGTGGTGCACAATGGTGAGAGCGGGGGGCGTCAGGACTCCTGGGTCCTGCCTGGCTCCGCAGGGCAGTGGTGCACAATGGTGAGAGCGGGGGGCGTCAGGACTCCTGGGTCCTGCCTGGCTCCGCAGGGCAGTGGTGCACAATGGTGAGAGCGGGGGGCGTCAGGACTCCTGGGTCCTGCCTGGCTCCGCAGGGCAGTGGTGCACAATGGTGAGAGCGGGGGGCGTCAGGACTCCTGGGTCCTGCCTGGCTCCGCAGGGCAGTGGTGCACAATGGTGAGAGCGGGGGGCGTCAGGACTCCTGGGTCCTGCCTGGCTCCGCAGGGCAGTGGTGCACAATGGTGAGAGCGGGGGGCGTCAGGACTCCTGGGTCCTGCCTGGCTCCGCAGGGCAGTGGTGCACAATGGTGAGAGCGGGGGGCGTCAGGACTCCTGGGTCCTGCCTGGCTCCGCAGGGCAGTGGTGCACAATGGTGAGAGCGGGGGGCGTCAGGACTCCTGGGTCCTGCCTGGCTCCGCAGGGCAGTGGTGCACAATGGTGAGAGCGGGGGGCGTCAGGACTCCTGGGTCCTGCCTGGCTCCGCAGGGCAGTGGTGCACAATGGTGAGAGCGGGGGGCGTCAGGACTCCTGGGTCCTGCCTGGCTCCGCAGGGCAGTGGTGCACAATGGTGAGAGCGGGGGGCGTCAGGACTCCTGGGTCCTGCCTGGCTCCGCAGGGCAGTGGTGCACAATGGTGAGAGCGGGGGGCGTCAGGACTCCTGGGTCCTGCCTGGCTCCGCAGGGCAGTGGTGCACAATGGTGAGAGCGGGGGGCGTCAGGACTCCTGGGTCCTGCCTGGCTCCGCAGGGCAGTGGTGCACAATGGTGAGAGCGGGGGGCGTCAGGACTCCTGGGTCCTGCCTGGCTCCGCAGGGCAGTGGTGCACAATGGTGAGAGCGGGGGGCGTCAGGACTCCTGGGTCCTGCCTGGCTCCGCAGGGCAGTGGTGCACAATGGTGAGAGCGGGGGGCGTCAGGACTCCTGGGTCCTGCCTGGCTCCGCAGGGCAGTGGTGCACAATGGTGAGAGCGGGGGGCGTCAGGACTCCTGGGTCCTGCCTGGCTCCGCAGGGCAGTGGTGCACAATGGTGAGAGCGGGGGGCGTCAGGACTCCTGGGTCCTGCCTGGCTCCGCAGGGCAGTGGTGCACAATGGTGAGAGCGGGGGGCGTCAGGACTCCTGGGTCCTGCCTGGCTCCGCAGGGCAGTGGTGCACAATGGTGAGAGCGGGGGGCGTCAGGACTCCTGGGTCCTGCCTGGCTCCGCAGGGCAGTGGTGCACAATGGTGAGAGCGGGGGGCGTCAGGACTCCTGGGTCCTGCCTGGCTCCGCAGGGCAGTGGTGCACAATGGTGAGAGCGGGGGGCGTCAGGACTCCTGGGTCCTGCCTGGCTCCGCAGGGCAGTGGTGCACAATGGTGAGAGCGGGGGGCGTCAGGACTCCTGGGTCCTGCCTGGCTCCGCAGGGCAGTGGTGCACAATGGTGAGAGCGGGGGGCGTCAGGACTCCTGGGTCCTGCCTGGCTCCGCAGGGCAGTGGTGCACAATGGTGAGAGCGGGGGGCGTCAGGACTCCTGGGTCCTGCCTGGCTCCGCAGGGCAGTGGTGCACAATGGTGAGAGCGGGGGGCGTCAGGACTCCTGGGTCCTGCCTGGCTCCGCAGGGCAGTGGTGCACAATGGTGAGAGCGGGGGGCGTCAGGACTCCTGGGTCCTGCCTGGCTCCGCAGGGCAGTGGTGCACAATGGTGAGAGCGGGGGGCGTCAGGACTCCTGGGTCCTGCCTGGCTCCGCAGGGCAGTGGTGCACAATGGTGAGAGCGGGGGGCGTGGATTTAAAGCATTCTGGATTTGCCACATGTCTGGAATTTTGGCTGCATTTATTGGCAGAACTGGTCAGCTGTTTTCACTCCAGCATTGCGATTTTTTTTTCTGGCTCCGGGGAAAAGTTTTGCAGCATTTCTGGTTTTGTGAGCACACGTTTGCAGGGCAGGATTTTCGGGCTCTAGTGATGTCACTTTGGTGATGCGTTTCTAGATTGTGTTGAGAGCTTGATTTTCATTTCTTTCACGGGGGGAGAAAGATGTGTCAAGATTTGAGGGGAGCGTGTGGTTTTTTGGAGATCTGAACTTCTGAAAAACTTCTGGAGAGGGGGGATATTTTGTGACCTGGCTGGGCCTCGGAGTTTGCAAAACCGATATATTTTAAGCGACATTCCCTGGCATTTCTGGATATCTGAACTTGCAAAAACCCGTGCAGCTCTGGGAGAAATCTTGAGCATCCCGAAAAATTGTCTTCTTTTGGGGGCCGTTTGCAAAAACTGGGCTGTTCCCACATGGGAGATTTCTGGAGTTTGGACCGAGGCCACGTTTCTTGTGAAAATCGCCTGGATCTGGGGGAAAGGTCGCCCAATTGCTGCACGATTGCGAGATTGTTTTGCAAAAAGGGTCCGGACTGAAGATTTCCGACACCCCAGTCGCGGAGCTGCTGAACTTTGGGGAGGGCCAGCGCCTGCCCTGGGCTTGCGGGTTGGGATTCAGTCCTGTTCTTGTTGTAACTCGCTGAGCCTCGCGCCACGCTCCTTGAAAGCGGCCAGGCCGCCGCCGGGATCTTTGGCTGTTCCCCGACAGGCCGTGCCCGGAGCCGAGGGGAAACCCGGCGACTTGCGGAGCGGGCTGGAAAGTGCTGAGGCTGAAAAAATCCGCCTGGTTTGTTTGGGCTCCCACAGCCCTGGAAGGAAGGAGGGGGCCGGTAGGAAGGACGGGGGCGCTTTAAGGAGACCGTGTGGCCACCGTTTCCATTGCCGGGATCTTTGGCTGTTCCCCGACAGGCCGTGCCCGGAGCCGAGGGGAAACCCGGCGACTTGCGGAGCGGGCTGGAAAGTGCTGAGGCTGAAAAAATCCGCCTGGTTTGTTTGGGCTCCCACAGCCCTGGAAGGAAGGAGGGGGCCGGTAGGAAGGACGGGGGCGCTTTAAGGAGACCGTGTGGCCACCGTTTCCATTTGTGATTTTCTCTCCCTCGCTCTCCACGCCCCTCGGCCTCCGCGCACAGCCACACGCCGCGCCAAGATGTTTCTAGCGCGGCCTTGACTGACAGTTCAGAGGAACCCCCCTCGCGCTCCCCCAAGCCCCCTCGTTCTTTCCTTCTGCCACCCACGACCCCTCCCCAGAAGAGCCATGTCCGTAAGTAGCGGGGTTTGGGGTTACAGGCTTTCTCTGTATCCCCTTACCCCCCTGGGGTTGGCTGGGAATTTCAGGGGGCAGCAGGGGGGTGCCGGTCTGGTACCGAGGCGCATTGGGAATACTGGTCCTGTCCCAGCGCCGGCAAGCCCTGGAGGTCCCGGTTTCTCCCCCCGCCCGGCCCTGGGTCCCTTGTCTGTCTCCTTGCCTGGCCCTGGGGGTTCCCTGGTCTCCTCCCCCCTGGCCCTGGGGGTCCCTGGTCTCCCTCCCCTTCTGGCCCTGGGAGTTCCCTGGTCTCCTTCCCCCTGGCTCTGGGGGGCCC